TTCCCGGCTTTAACAGAGTTTTCCCATTTTTTTAAACAGAATTACTAAGCATTAATGTTTGCTGCAGAAACAGGTTGCGGACATTAGGAGAGACAAATTTGAACTTACTCAAAATAATGTGTTAAGTTTTTATACGAAAAGCAGAGTGGCGTTGTTTGTTTACAACTGAGGGAAGAAACTACAGCATTAGAGCATGTATTAAAGCTGATGTGAACCAAACTCACATGACCATATTGAAACTTTTACTCGAGATTACTAAATTAGGTCACCTTCCGTACTTAAATGCACACTGCCGTGGTCCAACAGATTACCAAATGCCAACGACTCACAGGAGCCAGGGAGCTGCTATTTACCTGCATTCTTAACATGATTCTTGGTATTCTCACTTTCGTTTACCATCACCAAGATGTACTGTAGTGTTTTAATGTTTTAACATTCAATGAAGAAAAAAAGCACATATGAAAAACGCCAAATATTAAGACGTACAGTGATAGAAAATAGTGTCTGTCTGTCTGTCTAACTTATTTACTTATCTTTCTGTTCATTCTTCCATCTACCTCCTTACTTAATTGCCTATTTATCTACGAAATTTTATCTATTGATCTACCTGTCTATTACTTGTCGATCAATCTAGCAAAATCTATCTATTTTCTAACAATCGACGGATCACCGGAAGGTTCCTCCCCCAGCTTACTTCACCTGAAGATTAACCACTAACACTTGTAGTTATGAGGTTTGGTTAAGGATGGTTTGGTTACTTAGGCTGTGCTAGGTTAGGTTAGGTTAGGGATGGTTTGGGTTAGGCTGTCCTAGGTTGGGTTTGGTTAGGTTAGGTTGTGCTGAATAGTTAGGTTAGCGTAAGGTTGTTTAAGTTAGGTTAGGTTTGGTTAGGTTAGCGTAAGGTTGTTTGGTTAGGTTAGCGTAAGTTTGTTTAGGTTAGGTTACTATACGTTACGTTTGGTTAGTTTAGGCTAGGTTGTTAAATATTCCGGTTTAATGATCTGGGGGACTGGGTAGGGGGAGGAGGGGGGAGGGATTCTCCAGGTGTTCCCAAGAGACAAGACTAAAACTACCAACAAACAGTCACGTGAAGAAGAGTTACATGTCTGACACGGAAAAATAACCCAACGAAAAAGAAAAAAAAGTGGGGAAAAAAAAAGAAAAAAAAACAATAGAACAGAAAATTAGTAAGAGTAAGATAGTAAAAAAGAAAATGTAGAATGGCAAAAAAATAAACACAGTAATCACAAAAATATTACAAAACCAAACAAATCGAAGAAACGAAAGCAGTAAAAGTAAAACAAATGAATAACGTCTTGCTGATAATGTTAATGAAAAAAAATATTAAAAACTACATTATTATTATTATCATTATGCAAAACATAGAGATCTGTGCCAAATACGAGTTCAATCGACGAAGACTTTCTCCTGTTAGTGAATGAACACGTAACTGAAAAGGATGAAGGAACAGGAGCACCTTCATAGTCATTGCCCGTTTTCTATGATAGTGGAGCTGGGGGTGGAAACTGCAACTAAATAAATGAGGAAATACGAAATCAATACAAACAAAACTCGACATTCCTAAAAAAAAATACGTATGGAAAAAAAATTGACGGATAACATGAATATTAGGTAGCCCAGTTTAATTCACCTGATGTGTCATCCACCTAATGCTACCTGGGTGACCGAGAGGGGGTGGGGGTTAATAAACTGGGGCTACCTAATCTTCATGTGATCCAACATCTGGTCAAGAACGGACTTAAATTTGGACGACGGAGAAGATATTCCCATCAAGAGAAAATCCCCTTCAGCCCCGTTATTTAGCCGCCGCTGGGACACTCGCCCTTACCAACCACCGCCACAAGGTCGGTTATTGCACGCTACCCTCCCGCGGATCACTCTGGCATGCAATTATAGCCCTACCGTCGCTCGTCCAGGGACCCTGATTATGATCTGAATGCACGTGATCGATCATGTGACTCACGTGACCCTGTAGAATGTAAACAAAACCACGTGATCTTGAGTGTATGTAAACAAAACCACGTGATCCTGGAGAATGTAAACAAAACCACGTGACCCCTAAACAAAACCACGTGACCCTGGAGAATGTAAACAAAACCAAGTGATCCTGGAGAATGTAAACAAAACCACGTGATCCTGGAGAATGTAAACAAAACCACGTGATCCTGGAGAATGTAAACAAAACCACGTGACCCTGGAGAATGTAAACAAAACCAAGTGATCCTGGAGAATGTAAACAAAACCACGTGATCCTGGAGAATGTAAACAAAACCACGTGACCCTGGAGAATGTAAACAAAACCACGTGATCCTGGAGAATGTAAACAAAACCAAGTGATCCTGCAGAATGTAAACAAAACCACGTGATCCTGGAGAATGTAAACAAAACCAAGTGACCCTGGCGAAAGTAAGCAAAACCACGTGATCCTGGCGAATGTAAACAAAACCACGTGACCCTGGAGAATGTAAACAAAACCACGTGACCCTGGAAAATGTAAACAAAACCACGAGATCCTGGAGAATGTAAACAAAACCACGTGATCCAGGCAAACTGTAAACAGAACCACGTGACCGCAAACACCAAGGCTGATAAAAAGACTGACCAATATTCAAACCGAATTATACATAATATTATAGAGAAAAATATAATGAAAAGTATGAACCAACCGTACTGACGACTGCCCACCCTAACGTTACCTGGAGGTGTGGTTAAGTTAGGCTAGAGTCAAGGTGGTTAATTTTCAGGTGAAATAAACTGGGCATTTGATCTTCAAAGTGAACCACATATATTTAATAAGTAGCGAAATGTAACTATGTAACTTTTGTATATGTTGATAAACTTCAAAGACTGAACCTATACATAATATTATATATATTATATATGAACCATATATGGAAATATAAGTCTATGTAATGTATATATTTAATAAGTAGCGAAATGTAACTATGTATATATATATATATATATATATATATATATATATATATATATATATATATATATATAGATATATATATATATGCAAGTAAATCACTGTAGGTGCGTGTGATCCAGGTATATGCTGATAACCACAAGGAAAGAAGAAAACACGAAGTTCCCAAGCGCTTTCGTGAAATTCACATCTTCAGGGGTGAGTACAGACCTGTCTGTACTCACCCCTGAAGATTCTATAATGTTCCTACTGCCAATTGAATTACAAGGTAATATTGAGGAGGCATTATCCCAGTCAATGCAATGCTTATTATCCCTCAAATGAACAAACAGAGCATTGGATTCCTGGCCTGTCCTGACACTATATTTATGTTGTTCAAGTCTAGTTACAAGATCTTTACCTGTCTGGCCTAAGTAAAACATATTGGGATAATGCCTCCTCAATATTACCTTGTAATTCAATTGGCAGTAGGAACATTATAGAATCTTCAGGGGTGAGTACAGACAGGTCTGTACTCACCCCTGAAGATGTGAATTTCACGAAAGCGCTTGGGAACTTCGTGTTTTCTTCTTTCCTTGTGGTTATCAGCATATACCTGGATCACACGCACCTACAGTGATTTACTTGCATATATATATATATATATATATATATATATATATATATATATATATATATATATATATATATATATATATATATATATATATATATATAAATCTGTTTCTGTTAATTCAGCATATCGTGTGTGGGTGTGTGTGTGTAAAACAAGTACACGCGTGAAAGGTGAGGGAGTGAGATTGAGTTGAAGACTGGAGGGAGGTGAAGGGTTAATATAGTGGGAAGGAGGTGAAGGGTTAATATAGTGGGAGGGAGATGAAGGGTTAATATAGTGGGAGGGAGATGAAGGGTTAATATCGTGGGAGGTGAAAGGAGTTAATATAGTGGGAAGGAGATGAAGGGTTAATATAGTGCGGAGGTGAAGGGTTAATATAGTGGGAGGGAGGTGAAGGGTTAATATAGTGGGAGGGAGGTGAAGGGTTAATATAGTGGGAGGGAGGTGAAGGGTTAATATAGTGGGAGGGAGGTGAAGGGTTAATATAGTGGGAGGGAGATGAAGGGTTAATATAGTGGGAAGGAAGTGAAGGGTTAATATAGTGGGAGGGAGGTGAAGGGTTAATATAGTGGGAGGGAGATGAAGGGTTAATATAGTGGGAAGGAGGTGAAGGGTTAATATAGTGGGAGGGAGGTGAAGGGTTAATATAGTGGGAAGGAGGTGAAGGGTTAATATAGTAACAATGTACAGTAGAGTAAGGCAGGAAGACTTCACGTAGTGTTGCCAGGGTCTCTCACGAGGATAATACGACATTATTTTCTGAGATAAAGAAGTAATGGAAAGAATAACAATAACATGAATAAAATGTAAAAACAATGTCGGTGTTTGAGCACGTATCAGAGATGCAGTTCCGCTTGACTAAGCTGGGACAGCGTTACCCTGGTCTGGGGATTCCAGATCTATCTTATGCACTTCGGGAATACTATGGTGGTCAGACAACTCAATCCCCGCTCAACTCACCCCTTTGTCTACTCAACTCAGTGTCAGCCCAAACCCTTTCAATTCAACCCCATTTGCTTATTTGGATCTAAAAGGCAAGAAGGGAGGTGAAACTGACAAAAAACAAACAAACAAACTTTTTTTTTTTTTGGGGGGGGGGCATGGATTGGAGGTTGATCATAGGCGCGCAACTCTGAAAGGTTAAGAAACACTGTCTAGGGTGTTCTTATGTACTTATTTCCAGGTAATGTATACTGAAAGCAGAGACCTACTGGTGGATGCCAAATATTATCAAGTATCAAGAGAGTTTTGGCCGCATTTGTACAGCATATACAATACACAGCTAACTCCTTACAGGACACCACTGTATAGTAAATAATGACATATATACTGGCTTTGTGGCCATTGTCTAAGCCTAAATTTTACTTAGAAATGAAAAATAATGTGACAAGAGACGAGATGTTGGGGAGTTACCAAGAAACCAACACTTACACTGGTCTTGTCAGCCTCCTGAGTGTCACTCCTTCACTCATACTCTGGTCACACTCACTGTACCTGAAACAACAAAAAATATAACTATTAAAAACCTGAACAAGTTTTGAGTTTCCTGTGTAACTTTTTTATATTTGCCATGATATATATTATGAGTGTGACAATTTGTGTCATGCTAGCATAGAAATGTAATCCTGTCAGACTATTATTTTTATTCTTATTAACTCGGATATATTTTTTAGCTTCACGTGTCTGTTCAGCACAAAAAGTACAGTAGTGTAATTACAGTCAGAGTAGCGTTAACACACACACCGTCATGGCTACTTAAATATCACAAAAATAACAAGAGGCATCTTTTCATGATGTTATTCTCTAAGGCAATGAATGTATGTTGTTCCTGCACAATATACAGTATTTAGTCTCCCCTGTCTCCTGGGCGACAAGTTTACATCGTGATAATGAAAGAAGCTCCGGGTGGGTTCACACGTGAGAGAAGACAAATGCGGTGTTCTCTAACATCAGTTCACTAAATTGACATAATATAACAACATAAAACTACAGTATAAAAACTTAATGTGTATCGTTCCACTACTTCATATCTCCATTGGACCTCACCCACGGAGGTTCATTTAAGCAATATATTATTTTTTTTTCCTTTTCTTCTACCCAATACATCACTACTTAACAATAGCTAATATTTACCAATGATTTTACCGTGTAGAGGTGCCTTCCTCCGGCCAGTAATCCTCGCTGCTTTCATGCACTCCTCGCTCCGCAATACCGAGTGAAATTTTTCACCAACAACATAAACGGAATCTTTTTACGAATTCAGAAGCGGTGAGAGCAGCTCGCTAATGGCCACCGCTTTTTTTTTCTGTCTGGATCTCTTTCCCTCGCCCACAAAAGAACAGTTTTTCACAGTCTGTCAGTTCTGTCCCGGCCCCTCCTCAACGGTGGTTCTGGCCTGCCCGGGGGTCACCTCCACCACCTACTGTACCTCACAAGGAAGGTACAAGACGTTGGCTCTGTAACAACTATCTGTACTCTGTGTGTTTCTGGTAACTTAAAAAGACACGGTAATTCTTGAGAGTAAATAGATGCAATGTTAAATGCACCAACTTACTGTACAAACAAGCATGTATGTCAGGAAGAGATGAAAGACCCCCTACCTATATCACACACACACACACACACACACACACACACACACACACACACACACTTTAACTTCCCACAATACACTCCTAACGAGCAAGTGGTCCTGGGAACAAACCAACAGGAATTTCTGCCGTCAACACCACTCTCCATTAACACGGCTCACATTAACACTACTGTCATCAATACCATTCACATCAACACACCAACATACACAAGATATCATTCATTCTAGTTATCAAGAACAAACTCTACATTACACAATGGTAAAATATGCAGGTACAAAAGTTATCATTAATTGGCACAAAAACCCTCAGGGTACAAAAATTCATCATTAACTGGGCAGGAAAAAATGGTACAAATTATCTTGACTTTCCTTGCTACAAAATGCAACATGGTACAAAATGTTCACAGGATATTGCTAAAGTCTTACACCATCACACCATTACAGGGATGTTGGATGGTGCGACGGTGTAAGGCTTGGATGGTGTGATGGTATAAGGCTTGGATGGTCTGATGGTGTACAGTACATCACACCACCCAAGCCTTACACCGTCACATCACCCAACATCCCTCTAAGTATTCGCCATAAATCTTTCCTAAATATAAGAGTTTTTGTCTCAGTGATAAAAGTAGCTGTTAATAAGATGAAAATAGAGACAGGCTAAATAGTTCGTAAAGTTGTTAGATAAGACAAATGTATTGGCTGGATACACTAATAATACCACGATAAAAAACCTATTAAGTATGGGTGGTGGTGGTACTGTACATTTATTATATTATTATTATTATTATTATTATTATTATGAACAACATTGAAACACTACTCTTAAATTGTAACAAAATCACGTGTTTACAACTACTGAAGTATAATACATGTAAATACAGTATTACAAAAAAAATGTTGATCGGAAGTGTCTTACTCGAAAGCACTTTACTAAACATTTATTATCAAGTGTATGTTGTATCACTATTAACTGAGGTGACGTCATACACAGTGCTCCCCCGGTAGGTGTCTCAGCTGGTATATCCTATAATCTTGCCGTCTTAATTTGCTTTATTGGTATCTTTTCAATAAGTGTTATTAATATCAGAGACAACAGCAACATTATTGGCATAACTATCAATAATATCACTATCACAGTTAGTACCATTACCATCATCATGTTCATCCTTATAACCACCATCAACATCACTATCATTATGATCGTCCAGTGAGAGTAATAACAGTCGTCAACAGCAGGTCGTAACTCGAGACACACACAAAGATTGCTGGTGTGGCGGGAGTGATGCTTCGCGGTTCACTGCTACTCACCAGTCACTGCTGTAATTACCTTCACTGCTCTACCAGCCGTCTGCGACCACTCACACAACTGTTAAGCATCTCTCCACTACAGGCTGTCACTTCACTCAAAACCCACAATTTAATATCCGACTAATGTTATTACTGGCGTAGTCATATTTCCCTGTCTTCTTACTACAAAAAATAAATGCAATTATCATAATATCATCAAAGGTATGAGTAGATGTAGTATCCACCACTGCACTGCACAACTACCCGTTACCATCATCCTCCCAGCCCCCGTCCTCCACTTACCACACTACTGGATCTTGTCAAGCCACGGGTGCACCTTGGCAGAAAAGTCCTTGACTGGCGGGTGTGTAGCTGATGCATCTAAGTGTCTGAACGAAAGATTAGAATTAGATTTTTGAATTCCATTTACTCTCATGACGTTTTAAGTTCCAGAATGTCCTGTAGCGGCAGACATTCTAGGTTCCAGGGGATTCTGTAGCAGCTAACACTCTAGGATCCCTGATATTCTATGCCAGATAACATGGACGGTTTCAGGATATTCTGCGGTCGTTTCAAGTTTAGGTTCCAATACTTTCTGCAAACGCACTTGTTTGTAATTCCTCAATAGCCTCACATTTACATTCCAAGAGTGTCTGTGTTCGCTGAAGCCGATGCTTCTAAAGCTTCTGAAGCAGATGAAAGTTTAAACTTTCCCGGAGTTTCTAAAGGTTCCAAATATTCTGGTCCAAGAGTTTCTCCAGTTTCAAATTTATCTAGTTTCCAATAGTTCAAGCATCCACTCCCAGTGTGGATTTCAGTAGTTTCTGTGGTTCCTCCTAGCAAAGATTTGATTTGAGTAGTTTCTGTTGCCCCTCCTAGCAAAGATTTGACTAGTTTCTGTGACCCCTCCTAGCAAAGATTCTAGTAGTTTCTGTGGCCCCTCCTAGCAAAGATTCTAGTTGTTTATGTGGCCCCTTCTAGCAAAGATTCTAGTAGTTTCTGTGGTCCCTCCTAGCAAAGATCCTAGTCGTTTATATGGCCCCTCCTAGCAAAGATTCTAGTTGTTTATGTGGCCCCTCCTAGCAAAGATTCTAGTAGTTTCTGTGGCCCCTCATAGCAAAGATTCTAGTAATTTCTGTGGCCCCCCCTAGCAAAGATTCTAGATGTTTATGTGGCCCCTCATAGCAAAGATTCTAGTAATTTCTGTGGCCCCCCTAGCAAAGATTCTAGATGTTTATGTGGCCCCTCATAGCAAAGATTCTAGTAGTTTCTGTGGCCCCCCCTAGCAAAGATTCTAGTTGTTTCTGTGGCCTTTGAGAGCAAATATTGCAGAAGTTTCTCTTGACTACTCCCTGTAGTTTCTGTGTCTACTACCTGCAGGGATTCTAGTTGTCTTGCGGCCGCTTCCAGCATGGATTCCAAGGCACTGTATAAGGTTTAGGGTGCCTGGAAATCCAATCTCCTGTCTTATAGGTTTCTGGAAACTGTGGCTTATATTTAGGTGGTCGTTAACCTGTCCTTGGAGAGTTCTGTAATGTACGTGGGATGACGGGGAGGGAGGAGGGGGTAGAGCGAGAAAGAGAGAAAGAGAGACAGAGAGAGAGAGAGAGAGGCTAAAAGAGGTCACGATAAGTTGTATCAGTAAGCCCTTGCCCAGATTCTGGTGTCCCCAGACCAGCAGCAACACAACACCACACCACACCACAAGCGTCACGAGCCTTAGCAGCAGCACCACCAAAAACAGCAGCAGGAGTACCAACATCAACATCAGAAGTCGCACCAGCAGCATTACCACCTGCACCAGTAACAACACGAAGAACACCAAGACTAACAGAAGCACCAGCAGCACCAGGACCACCTCCATCAACAGCAGTTCTGTCACCAGAACAACTATCACCACCAACAGCATACAACAGAATTAACAGTAATAGTAGTTGCAACAACAGCAACAATAACACCAACAAAAGCATCACAGTCACCACCAGCGGCAGGACGGTGGCCCCGCACTACACCTTAAGGCCACACAGCTCAATACACAACCCGCTCTACTCGCTCCTGCTTAAAAAGCGCTGCCTCCACCTCCCTGCTTAGTGTCAGGGCGTACCACTCACGTCTCTGCACAAGATGAAAGCGAGTTTTTTTTCAGTTCTCTGTTTCATGTCTTGCTAGTTAACAGCAGTACTACCTTTCTTGACCCACCCGGTACTGTCCTCCCTGTTTCATGACCCACCCGGTGCTGCCCTCCCTGTTTCATAACCCACCCGGTACTGCCCTCCCTGTTTCATAACCTACCCGGTACTGCCCTCCCTGTTTCATAACCCACCCGGTACTGCCCTCCCTGTTTCATAACCCACCTGGTAATACTGCCCTTTCCTGTTTCATGCCCACCGTACTGCCCTCTCACTTCATGACCCACCACTGTACCCACCAGTACTGCCCTCCCTGTTTCATAACCCACCTGTACTGCCTCCCTGTTTCATGACCTGGTACTGCCCTCCTGTTTCATAACCCACCCGGTACTGCCCTCTCCTACTTAATGACCCACCGGTACTGCCTCCGTGTTTTAACCTACC